TTAATTCATTCAATTCTTGGGCCCTTAAGAATCAAAAGCTGCATTAGGCATGATAATAAAACTTAGGAATAAATCTTAATAAAAATCAACATAAATAAATCAACACACAATCAAGAGATTGGGCTACATCTTAGCCCTAGAAAATAAAATTAGTTCATAATAAACATGAAAGAAACAATCATCTTTATAAAAACAATCATCATGAGTCTGTACGAAAGGAACGAGACGAACTTCTCTATATTGAGAATCAAAGCTCCATAAATTTTGTCCATTTTCTTCTCTACAGGTTTTTCTTCTCTTATTCTCTCCAAAGAATCCCTAAAATAATGCTAAAAAACTTTTCTTTATATTCCCCAAGGGTTAGGGTTTTGTTTTTTTTTTTTTTTTAATTCTATTTAGTTTAGGACTCTTAAACCTTATTTTTCTAATAAAAAACGAAAGAAAGATTTCCAATTGTCATGACTGTGCCCCAGCATTGTGCTCCAACACGGTTGATTATGGAAAAAGTGTGTTGCGGCATAGTGATAACTTCCTCTTCTTTAGTTCAAATCTCGCATCATTCCTCTACACTTCAGAGATGGTGATTTTTTAGCACGATAACAATGGAATCTGGAGAAGTGGTAATATATGAAATGTAGCCCTTTGAATCAGATTTCTAACAATCGAAGAATCGTCTTAATCCAAGGGAGTTATTGTCAAAACACCTAGACATGTTCAAACTAGAGCGTAATCTAGAGTCTCATCTTTACTTCAAAGCTTCATAACTTCTTCAATTCAACTCCGATTCTCGATCCGTTTGTTTCTACTCATCACTCATTCCATTGTTGACATGATTCTTCATCCGAGCATAAGATTTAGCACTAATAATCTGAAAAACACTCAACCACACCCATGATCCCATAAAAGATATTTAGGAAAATATTAAGTAAATTTACCAATTTAAGCCTAATTTCTCCCAAATAGTCCACATACACCACTAAGTAATTGTGTATTTTCAAGTTCTTATCAGAAAAGCATGGCGAGTGCATTGATGCAAAGATTGAAAAAAACAAAGGCAATGATGCAAAGAGAGAAGGGGCCTTGTTTTAACAAACATGTTTTGAATCTTCTTGAAGTAGTGTTTGTTGGTGATGTTTTTGGAGATTGGAACAACAGACAAGATTAACCCACCCAACAAACAGGTAACTGAAGGGACCAAGTGTTATTGAATGCAAGAGAAAAGAGAGGGGGCCGCGCCCTCTTCTCTTTGCTTATTCTGATGAAAGAGTGAGAGCTGTCTGCCGTCCAACGAATTGGACAATGACATGTGTTGCCGAGAGGGCCACTGGTTAATCATGAAATGAGAAAGGTGAGGGACGGAGGATCATGTGCCTCAGAAAGTTTGAAAGGCTATAAAAGAATGTAACTGAAATGATATTGAAACGTTAAAGAAATCAATTCACTTCTGTCAATTCATTCAACTTCAACTCGGCCATGAAATGTACTAAGGAAGAAAACCAGTGACCTTTGCGTTGGAGTTTCTCAACAGAAGTCTTTAGAACTGAACCCATCTCTAGAATCTTTGAATATTTTTATATTCTTAATGACTATAACGATAATGATCTTTCAAAATAATTGAGTTAGTATGGAAATTTTAGTTCTTAAAAAAAGTTAAAAACTTGTTATTATTATGTTGAGGCCTTTAATGGCATCCTGTCGAAATGCTCAAGTTCAAATACACATATGAGAAGTGGTGAGCAGACGTCTTTTGTTCCATGGGACAGATTTAAGGGCCCAAACGCCATATCAAAAGATGCTATATAAGAACCTGCATTGTATTGTTATCATTATTGTTTTTTCTCACCAAACTTTTATCCTATGGCGTTTGGGCCCTCAAATAGGAAGTAGTGTTACATATTACCTTGAGAATAAGACTTAAAATTAAGGGTGCGTTTAGTTTAATGAATATTATATTACTGGGAATGTTATATTAATGGGAAGATAAATTACCTTAAAGATTATTGGGAATGTTATATTAAATGTGTTTAGTTAGATTGAAATAAATTGATGGATATGTTATATTAATATGTTTGGTTGGAAAAAATCTATTGGTGGATATATCATATAGATTACTGAATTGCTAATACTATTATTATTGTTTGGATTATTTTTTAACCCCCTACATTTAAGATTTTGCTAAAACACCCTAAACACAATAAAAGTTTAAATTTTAACAAAATCACCCTCACCCACCCAAGCCATTGCTGACCGCCGGTCGTGGCTTGAACAGCACACGACCAGTTGAATATGACTGATCGTGCATCGATCTGACCGTTAACGACCATGGATCTGGTCGGAAACAACCAGATCTGGCTGTTTTGCAACCAAATTCACGACCATTTTCAGCCACTGATCTGGTTGGATCGGTGCATGGCGGCCACCGGTGGTGGCCAGATCTGGCCATCTGTCTTGAGTAATTTGGTTTAAGTTCAAGGGTAATAATGTTCTAAAAATCTTGTGTATAAGGATAAAATAGTCCAAAAATATTCTCGTAAATTGTGTTAAAAACAAGGGCATTATTGTCCAAATTTTTTAATAATTAGGGGTAAAATTATAACAAATTAAGATTACCAATCATTCTTAGAATATGTAAGAAAACAGTAGTATTTAGATTATCACATATATAACCAATAGTAATTATTATTGGTTTTAGAAGATTACCGGAATTTTTTATTACTTGACAACCACACATAGTAATATAAGTAATATAAAATTACATTACTAGAGTAATGTCAAATACCCTTGAACCATACACATCCTAACTGTTATATGAATTGGAATCCCGATTTTATATGTATAGAGTTACTTTTTTCTTTTAGGAGTACTATTATTCAAGTCTCATATTTATTTATTTATTTATTTTAATTTTTTTTTTTTTTTGGTATTCAGGGATGTTTTGGTCAGCTTGTGCGTACCTCAACTAGTCCCCCGGGATCCTTTTGTTAAGGATTATGTAAGCTTCTAGTGGTTATCCCTTATTAGTAGTCGTAGGGATTCGAACTCAAGATCTCTTGAGTAATACACCTAAGAGTCTCAAGCGAACCGCCAAGCTACCAATTGGTATAGTTTTCAAGTCTCATTTTCATATTAACTTGACTTTTTTATTTCTCCATTCTTCATATGTAGATTCTATCCAGAGAACAATAAACAAATGAAAAGGAAAACTCTACTGGGTACCCATAGATTAAAATCATCTCTGGTCATAATCAATATCTGGTTAGTGGCCTCTATGGCTTTGTTAGATTTCTAAAGAATAATTCTTTCCAACAACACTTCTAGATCTACTAATGTCCTTACAAGTATAGGGATCTCACAAACTAATTTGATTGATTAAATTCTAATTTAAGATAAAGAGGGAAATAACCCTTTTAAGAACACAAAAATTATAATTTTATAATTTTATCTTTTATTCAAAATGAAAATGGAGTTAATTAATAAAAAAAGCGTGGCTGAAATAATATGGCTCTTTCTTTAATGTCTGTAGGCAAATCACACCTCGTTCTTGGGACTTGAATATGGCATGGTATAAGTATTGGGCTTTCCCAAAACTTGCTCGACTAATACCCACTATCCAATTGCAGTTTTGCTTCAGGGGTAAAATTTGATGACTTATTATTTATAATCTTAATGAAACAAAAAATATATAGTTTTTCTAATATATAACGTTAAACTATGATAGGTTATACAAAACTAGCATTTAATAATATGATTAGACCATTTTTATCCATTTTGTTTTTTTATTAAGGACAATTAGATTAAGTAGTGTGATTTTATATAAATATGCCCTTTAAACAAAACCTTCACACATTGAGATTAAAATTTGTAAGGATAACTGATTATCTCAAAAACTTCTCTTGTTATTTTCTCTTTCATTATTCTTAAATCTTAATTATTAATATAGACATATAGTAATACTCTCTTTTGCACTCTCTTCCTCACCCTCTCACACTTATCGCCGCATGTGTGCAAAGGAACAAATAAAATGCGAAAAGAAAAAATCAATTATTTCTAATATTTTATCTCTTGCACACGTGTCATAACAAGAGTGAGAGAGCAAAAAAGAGAGTGCTCCCAGCACTCCTCATGTATATAAAGTTGAGATTCCGACTTTGGACATCAATTAATGTATATGATGACTTGACGTTTAAACATTTTTTTATTTTAATAACTAAGGTGTTTTGAGAAGCTTTCATGTATTTCAACAAATCTTCAAATAGAATTATCTCACAGCAATCCATAATCATGGCCTTCCGAGTAAACCGAACCTGAGACTGTGAGTTTTACCCATTTATAACCCCTCTGATTCACTTTTACTGTTGAGCTACTCATGGATGAGTAAAATTAAAATCCTTATCACGTCAACTTTGGATATAAAATATAAAGTTAGGATTTTAACTTTGTATGCATGAGCATTATTATCATTAATATAATTGACCAAGTTTAAGATAACTATCTAAGAGACATTTTTATTCGCTTAATACAACTAGTAAAATTTCAGACGTAGAAAGAATAGCTATGTTAAAACATTATAAACCTCAACTGATACGAACTAATTTTTATGTGACTGATATCAGTCTCTTTCCTTCACCGAACATCGTCAAATCCCAGATAGACAAACCGGCAGCCAAAGCAAGATGTTACTGCAAATCAAATATTGAATGCAGTTAGCATGTTCATAACATATTATAAGGTAAAAGCTTGTCAAATTATTATCACTTTCACGGTACTCTATATTATGAACATATATGTATAAAAATTTTAACAGACAAAATGGATATCTCAACGTCTTATAACAGTTCGCTGGCAAGCTTTGTTTGCTTCCAAACTCTTATTTAACTACCCATCAATACTTTTTGCACTTGAATGATTAAATTCTACTGCTATAAGTACGTAGCCATGGCTCTTCATCATTCACTCAAGAAGTCAAGCTCAAACAAGTACTAGTTTAAGTAATACAAATAATGGAAATGCACAATCATTGGTGCTCAGCATCACTTTTTCTCATTATTTCTTGCTTTGTTGGGTTTCTTTCTTTTCCAGCTGATGCAGCAGTGAAGAAGAATCAATTCGATGTGGGTATTTCGTTTCTGGAACTTGTTTTTTCTTGGATGAATTGATTGAATCATGAATGTAACATGATCTTCTTCTCGTTTGTGTTATATTTTTCGTTCAAGTTAAGAATGTGAGCAGATTGTGCTATTCTAAACCAATTGTTACAGTAAATGGAACGTTTCCAGGACCTACTATCTACGCTAGAGAAGGCAATCGAATTCTTATCAATGTCACAGACTACGCACAATATAACTTGTCTATTAGTTGGTATATAATTTGAATCCTCATAATTTGTATTAAAACATGCATAAATATGGCATAAATTTGCTTGTGACTTTTGTATGTAGGCATGGATTGAAGCAATATCGAAATGGTTGGGCAGATGGACCAGCATGCATAACACGATGCCCTATAAAAACTGGACACAGCCACACTTACGATTTTAATGTCACTGGACAACGAGGAACTCTGTGGTGGCATGCACATATTCTGTGGCTAAGAGCCACAGTTTATGGTGCCATTGTTATTATGCCTAAAGAAGGAACACCATTTCCATTTCCTCAGCCTTATCAAGAAACTAATATAGTTCTGGGTCGGTAACATCAACTATCACCATTAATCAAAATTTTTGAAGAGCAATTTATATATCTAACATTTAAAGATCTTATATATGCAGGAGAATGGTGGAATTCGGATGTTGAAACAATTGTAAACCTAGTTAATAAGTTAGGCTTGCCACCACAAACCTCTGATGCTCATAACATCAATGGGAAACCAGGGCCACTCTTCCCATGTTCTGAGAAACGTAATGTCTCTAGATTATGATTAAAAACAAAATTCTGGGAGATGAATGATTCTACTTCTTAACTCGATTTATTTTTTCCGTTGTCTTAGATACATTTGCCATGGAGGTGGATTCCGGAAAAACGTACCTACTAAGGATTGTCAACGCTGCACTTAATGATGAGCTTTTCTTTGCCATAGCTGGTCATAACATGACTGTTGTAGAGATTGATGCAGTCTACGCGAAGCCATTCACAACTCAAGCTATTCTAATTGCACCAGGTCAAACCACTAATGTTCTTGTTAAAGCTGACCAATCTCCAAGCCGATACTTCATGGCAGCCAGGCCTTTCATGGATGCTCCAATTCCAGTAGATAATAAAACTGTTACAGCCATTCTGCAATACAAAGGCATCCCAAACACAGTTCTTCCAACCTTGCCTCAATTGCCTGCTCCGAATGACACCAACTTTGAATTAAGCTACACTAGTAAACTTAAAAGCTTAAACACCCCACAATATCCTGCCCAGGTCCCCCTTCAGGTTGATCGCCATCTTTATTACACAATTGGTTTAGGACAAAACCCATGTCCCACTTGCCAAAATGGCACAAAACTCACAGCTTCATTGAACAACATAACCTTTGTGATGCCAAAGATTGGACTCTTACAGGCTCATTATTTCAATATCTCCGGAGTTTTCAGAGCTGACTTCCCTGGCCGCCCTCCTGTTCCATTCAACTACACCGGTGCACCTCTTACCGCCAACCTTGGCACTTCATTAGGAACAAGGCTGAGTAAGGTGGCTTTCGATTCCACCATTGAATTAGAGTTGCAGGACACAAATCTTCTTTCAGTAGAGTCACACCCGTTTCATCTTCATGGTTACAATTTCTTTGTTGTTGGAAGTGGAATTGGGAACTTTGATCCCAAGAAAGACCCGGCTAAATTCAACTTAATTGATCCTCTTGAAAGAACTACAGTTGGAGTTCCAACAGGAGGATGGACTGCTATCAGATTCAGAGTTGACAATCCAGGTAACTTAGTGCATGTCATGCTATAATCCGAAAAACAACCAAGAATAAACACACACAATAATCAATGAAAAAACAGTCACACAAACACCAGAACTACCGTGATTCACTTGCTCTAGATTCGAGTAAGCTACGTCCACGTTGAGCTCCAGAAATGGGGAGCTCGCTGCACTACTATTAATATTGAATCAACAATCTACAGCCCTATTCAAGAACAAGCTCAAGATCCTTCTCTCACAATCCTGAAATACTACACGTAACCTGACCCTAGGGAGACTCTAACCCACGGAATCCCTAGAACAAGAGTTGTCCCACTCTTCTCCAAATGATTAACACAAATCACTCAAGAATCACACAAGTTACACTCAAATTTCATATCAGAATTGCAAACCCTAACAGAGAACACAAAAACAAAGGAGAATGCTTCGAAAGAGGACTTGGGGTGTTCCTGAAATTTGTCGCCCTTTTATATCATTGACTTGAAGTAGGAATTATAGTCATTGGATTGGTGTTGAATCAACGGTCAGGATCCAACTCAAAAAACTGACCCAAACGGTGACGTTTCACTAATCCTCCAATACGACGACGTTTTTAGCATTTACTTCAACAATCTCCACCTTGAATGCTAAAAAAAAAACTCTTCTAGTGCAGCAAGCTTAGGCCAAATCCCTCATAGCTCCTGCCCCCACTACTTACTTCATGAACAATAAGTCCAAGCAGTGCTTGAACTTGGCAAGGGAGACAATCTTTGTTCCCATGTCAGCTAGATTATCTTCAGTGGACACTTTCCTCAAGTCAATCACTGCTTGAGTGACTAAATCTCTAACAAAATAGAAGCGGACATCTACATGTTTTGTCCTCTCGTGATAAACTGGATTCTTGCTTTAATGGATTGCGCTTTGGCTGTCAGAGTATATGATTACCTTTCCCTCTGTCAAATTTGATTCAGCTAATAAACTTTACAGCCAAAGGGCTTCCTTGAACACATCGGCAATGGAAATATACTCAGTTTCAATCGATGAGAGTGCCACTATAGGCTAAAGTTGAGACTTCTAGCTTATACAATTTCCACTGAGAGTGAAGTAATACGAAGTAGTAGACTTTCTTGTATCTTTGTCACCTGCAAAATCCGAATCTACAAAGCCAACCAAGTCAAGTTAAGCATCCCTTTTACAAAACTCTAACCCAACATTCAAAGAATTGTTAATATACCTCAATACCCACTTGAAGGCAACCCAGTGTTCACTGCCAGGATTAGCCATAAATCGGCTCAGCAAGGGAATGGCAAATGACAGATCCGGTCTAGTGCTTATCATCACATACATCACAGATCCAACTATATTAGCATAAGGGACAGATTCCATTTTTATTAATTCTGCTTCAGTTTTTGGGCATTGACCTTTTTCTAGTACAAAGTGGTTTGCAAGGGGCATAGAAATCAGTTTGGAATCTGCCATTCCAAACTTGGATACCAGTTTGCTAAGGTATGATTATTGCCTAATTTTCAGCTCATATTTGCTCCTATTTCTAGTTATATCCATTCCTAGAATTCTCTTGGCATTTCATAGGTCTTTCATGTCAAATTCAACCTTGAGTTTGTTCTTTAGCTCAAGTATCTTTGAATTGGACTTTCTAACTAGCAACATATCATCCACATACAGTAATGGATATATATGCATGTTCTCATTCAAAGTAAAGTAAAAACAACTATCATATCTACTTCTAGTAAACCCTATGCTCAAAATGAAAGTGTCAAACCTTTTGTACCACTGCCTAGGGGACTGTTTCAGCCCATATAAGGATTTATGCAGGAGGCAAACATGGTCAGGTACTCTATAGTCTACAAAGCCTATTGGTTGGCACATGTAAATTTCCTCTTCTAAATTTCCATGTAAGAAGGCAGTGGTCACATCCATTTATTCTAACTCTAGGTTGTGATGGGCAACTATGGAGAGCATTAGTCTAATAGTCTTATACTTGACTACGAGGGAAAAACTTCATTGAAGTCTATCCCCTCGCGTTTGGTGTACCTCTTAGCAACAAACCTAACTTTGTAACTAGGTTGGTCAGTAGCTAAAACACCATCTTTTATCTTAAACAACTATTTACATTGGATCAGCTTCTGGTCCTCCTTGGAACTCATAGCTTCTTCATATGAGTTAGGTTTTGCCCTTTGCACCTCTGTTCTTGCAAGTAAAGCAGTAAAAATTAGTTCAGCATATGAAAATCTGGCAGGGGGCCTTACCTCTCTCCTTATTATGTCCCTTTCAAGTTGATAATGCTCTAGTTGATCATGTTGTGGTTCAAGTACATTTGTTGCAGCTTCTTCATTTTCTGATTCAAGACCATTGGATCCTAGTTGAGTTTCTAGGACCTGTTCATCTTCAAGTTGAGGTGGTTCAGCCTGCTGACCCACAGGCTCCACCTCAATTGATGTAGTCTCAGTGGAGTGTATTGTAATTTCAAGGGTAATGTGGCTGCTTGCATCATGGTTAGTAGCTTTGCAAGGGAAAACCCCTTCATTAAACACTCCATCCCTACTTATGATGATTTTTACCTCTGGTGATTCTCTATCCCAAAGTCTATATCCCTTCATCCCTTCTTGATACCCCAAGAACACACACTTGTTGACCTAGGCTTTAACTTCCCCCCTACTGTGTGTACATAGGCTGCACACCCAAACACTTTTAGGTGGCTTAGATCGAGCCTTCTCCTAGCCCACACCTCTTTGGGGCATTTAAAATTTATAGCTGTAGATGGACTTCTGTTTATCAGGTAGGCTACAGTGGCCAAGGCCTTTCCCTAAAAGGTATTTGGCAGTCCTAAGGTAAATAACAAGCATCTTACCTTTTCTATGAGGGTCTCATTCATCCTCTCAGCAACCCCATTTTGTTGAGGAGTTTTTCTTACTGTTCTATGCCTTAAAATGTCTTGCTCATCGCAAAATCTATCAAATTTAGCATTGCAGAACTCTAGCCCATTGTCAGTTCTTAGGGCTTTCACTCTCTTGTCTAATTGATTTTGTACAAGTAACTTTCACTCTCTAAACTTGGACAGGGCTTGATCCTTAGTTCTTAGAGGGTAGACCCACACCTTTCTACTGTAATCATCCACAATAGACATAAAGTAGCTATTCCCCCCATGGGACCTGACCTTTTCAAGCCCCCACAGATCAGAATGGAGATACTCTAGGCAGCTAGTGGCTAGGTGTGTTCCCTTTGGGAAGCTAACCCTATGTTGCTTACCTAAAACACAATTCTCACAAAATTCTAAGGTGGAAACAGACTCTTTACCAGACATTCCTTAGTTACTCAAAATGTTTAACCCTTTATGGCTCATGTGGCCCATTCTAAAGTGTCATTTTTCAATAACAGACAAGTTTGAGGAGACTAGGGCAGTATTGAAACAATCTGAACAGAAATCACCACATAGGATATATAATTCATTCCTTTTTTCCCCTTTCAGAATCAGGTTTTGGTTCCTATACACATTCAACCACCCATTTCAACACTGTAGCAACAACCTACTTCATCCGAGGTTCCTAATGAAATAAGGTTCCTCTTGAGTTTAGGGATAAACCTAACTTTAGTCAGTTTTATAAATTTCCCCCCACTAAGCCTGTGTGTTATACTACCTATGCCTTTTACTCTACAAGCATGGTTCCCCATAAACACAGTCTCCTTTTCATAATCTTCGAAGTCCTGAAACCATTCTCTGTTTGGGCTCATATGGAATGAGCATCATGAATCTAATACCCACTCTTTAGTATTATCTGATATAGACACTGTAAGGACCTCTGGTTCTTCTACTAAGCTTTTAGTGGAGGCAATATTACTCTCTGTATTGCCCTGTTTTTGTTTCTTAAGCCACTCAAAACAGTTCTTTTTCAGATGACTAGTTTTGTTATAGAAAAAACATTTGCTAGATTCAGACTTTTGTTTATTATTCCATTTACCCCTTTTCTTGTTTTTGGACCCCTGACTAAATTGGTTTCCCTTAGCTAGTTGGCTAGTTTCTAGTTTGCCCCTAACAAACAGGTTACTGCCATTTCTTTTTTGCACTTTCAATTCTAGTTCTCTAGCGTTAAGACCTACTACTATTAGGTCAACGCTGGGGACAATACCGGAGTATTGGAGAGCATTCTTGACTACTTGGCAGTCATCAGTTAATGAATTTAGTAATATCATGGCCAAACTGGTTTCCCCTAATTCTTGATCGGTTCCCTTTAAGATGAGGGTCATTTTCAAAAATTCGTCTAGGTTTTCCGCTATGGTCTTATTACTGTCCATCTTATAAGAAAATAGGGCACCTTTGAGGAAAACTAAATTGGGAGCAGATTGAAGAGCACATAGAGATTCAAGCTTACCCCACAACCCCATGGGGGTTTTGATTCCATCAACCTTCCTCCATACGCTTTCTGGTAGGTTCATCACGATCAAATTATAAGCTTCTTCGTCAATCTCCTCCTTCTTCTTCAGTTTCTCTTTAGGCCACTTTTTGGGATCCTTCTCCAGCGCGAGGCCGACTTTATTGTGAGAAAGAAAGGGCTTTCATCTTCTTCTTCCAACTCTCGAAGTCGATCTTTCAATCATATTGGGTGATCTCCATTCGAGTGGTGGTGTTTGTCATGGTGTAGTGTTTAGGTTGGTGTTTAGGAATTGACGGACTCAAGAACTCAAGATTGTTCTTGAATTTCAAGATTCGAACATAACCCTAATTTCCTATCCTTGGTATAATCGACCCTAGTTTACTCGGATATAGGCACTATGGACACCTAATTAGATCAAGAAACCCTAGAATTGAGAAACCCCAAAATTTCAACAACCCTAAAAAAACCCTAGAATTTTTTAGATCTAATTTCCGAAATCCAATTTCCTAAAGACTTGTTACCAAAATGCTCTGATACCATTGTTATGCTATAATCTGAAAAACAACCAAGAACAAACACACACAATAATAAAGAAAAAATAGTCACACAAACACCAGAATTACCGTAGTTCACTTGCCCTATATTCGAGCAAGCTATGCCCACGTTGAGCTCTGGAAATGGGGAGCTCGCTGCTCTACTATTAATATTGAATCAACAATTTACAGCCCTATTCAAGAACAAGCTCAAGATCCTCCTCTCACAGTCCTGAAATACAACCCGTAACTTGACCCTAAGGAGACTCTAACCCACAGAATCCCTAGAACAAGAGCTATCCCACTATTCTCCGAATGATTATCACAATTCACTCAAGAATCACACAAGTTACACTCAAATTTCAGATTAGAATTGCAAACCCTAATAGCGAACACAAAAACAAAGGAGAATGCTTCGAAAGAGGACTTGGGGTGTTCCTGAAATTTGTTGCCCTTTTATATCATTGACTTGAAGTAGGAATTCCAACCATTGGATTGGTGTTGAATCAACGGTCAGGATTCAACTCAAAAAACTGACCCAAACGGTGACGTTTCACTAATCCTCCAAAACGACAATGTTTTTAGCATTCACTTCAACAGTGCACATAAGCAAAAATATACCATTAATGAATTCAAATATTCATATACTTGTAAGCATTTACTAAGAGCATGATGCGTTTATAGGTGTTTGGTTTATGCATTGTCACCTTGAGCTGCACACTATGTGGGGATTGAAGATATATGGAATTTGTTGTGGAGAATGGAAAGTCGCCGGAGGAATCCATTTTATCACCACCAAAGGACCTTCCACCCTGCTGATTAAATATGTATGATGTACAAAGATTTATTCTTCCTTGATTAACCCCCTTGTCTTCTTTTCATATTTGTATGCTCTGCAGAAGTTGCAAATGATTCTTTTCGGAGGGAATTTCCATTGATTCTAATGTTCTGACTGATTATTACTAGGACTACATGAAACCTCAATATGTAATAAAGTATTTGATCAAGGAAATTAAATATTTTTTTTTAAATTATGAATGTGTCCTCACGTTCTCCATGAATTTGGAGAAAACCATTGTGTTGTTCTAAATTATCATAATCCAAGCTGTGGTCATCTTAATGCAGGGAATGGAATTCAGGGTCAGATACAAATGAACAAGAAATATTAAGTGGTCAAAAGAATATCTGAATAATATATATGATATGAATTTAAAAGAGCAAAGATAGTTGAAGGGTAATTGCAGCATGATAATCATGGCGACACCAACAGAATGCATACTGAAGAAAAAAAAAATTAACCAAGACAGCAAGACACAAAAAAAAGTTTTCAATTCGATGCTAAATTTGTTAAAAAAATATAAATTAAGCATCGGACTTACTCAAGTATTTAGTCTTATAAAAGCCTGCCTATCTAGATAGCACAGTTCAGTGTTCAACAAACAAAGGCATGCAAAGCACGGAAACTCAAGGACATTGCAAAACTGCCAATTTAATTTAATTAATGGCTATCAAGTTCAAGAGAAAAATAATGAATTAATTATGTTTAGTTAGCACCTAATTTGGACACAATAAATACAGCAATTTGATCATCATTTTAACCACAACCAAGAATCACCCAATTATAGAAAAGTCAAGGAATGAGAGAGAAGATAATAACAATACACAAGAAGCTGTTATCCTATCAGTTTGAGTCTCATTGTCAATGAACCGCTTCATAGTCTTTGTGACTTTGTTTTCCATTCACAGAAGCTACTGATTCCTTGAAAGTGCAGCTCTTTGGTTCTTTTGGATAGCATGGCTCCGACTTCTGTTTAAATCCTAATCTTTTGGCAATAATTCTCCATGTTTTCTTTGTCTTCACAAGTTTCTCAAGCTCCTGTTTCATGCTCGAACACTTCTTTTCAAGCTCATGAACGCGCTCCTTCATTTCATCACGACCCACAACTTGGTCTTCAGCAGGGACTATCTGCCGACATCCCTCATCTCCAGGGTGTCCAAGGTTTCCACTAGGATTTTGAGAGTTCTCAAGATTGTCAACGATGAACCAGCCAGAAATAGAAGTGCGGAGACGAAGCTGTTCAAAGAAGAGGACTTGGACGACTACTCGAAGAGGTAACCTCTCATTCTGAGCTGCATGGGTGCTGGCATCCAACGAAAGCTTCTGGCAGTCCATAAGTCTGCAGAGTTGCTCCCTCTCATAATCTGTAATCCAAGGATGTGCCTGAAATGGTGAAATGTAAATTATAAATTCAATGAGACTTTTGATCTTTTGACTGACTGAATTTGTTGAAGTGAAAGAATAATTCAAACACCTTCAAGTAAATGTCAATTGCATGATAAAGTCCATCATCAAGTGGCCTAGCATAACCAGGGATTACAGCAGCTAGTGCCTCAAATTTTGGTAGCTTCAAATTAACATCCGGCGCCACCTCAGTGAGATATCCATCCACTAAACCAGCTACCGTTGTCATAGGTGTCAGTGAATCAGATCCATTCATTAGTTGCCCCTCTTCAATTATACAAGGATAAAATGATGCAGCTGCAGGATGGTTAAAGGACATGAAATGATCAAGCATCCTCTGGACACAGTCTATATCATAAAGGGTGTCTACGTAACCCATATTTGGTAAGAGAATATCTACAAGTGAAGCTTGGTCCAACTGGGCTCCCACCCTCTTTTCCAAATTTTCTTTACATGATGGACTTGCTTTTAAAACCATAGCAGTGTGAAGCAGCCTGAGAAGAAACTTGGTGGATGTGACATCCTTCTTATTGGGAAGTAATTCAACAATTTCTTCGACGAGAGCCCTCTGATCAACCTCAGACAATGTGGAAATAGTCCTTCTCAGGTTGACATGGTTTGTCTCATTGAAGTTTGATTGCCTATTCATCAAAGGGATATATCTCTTTGCATAGTAAATGAGGGATGAAGAAATAGTCTCAGGCTTTATGCTTCTTAATTTAAGAGCTAAAATCAATCGTTTATACAGAGACAAGCTAAGAGATGTAACATCCTCAAACCACCAATCATCTCCTATAGGATTCGGCTTAACAACTGTCGATATTCCATTCCATAAGACAAAGCCGTCTGTCTTGTGTGTGTTATTACTTTCTGGCACAGGCCAATTGAACAAGCTTGGGTCCGCACAAGCTTTCATGGCCAATGAATCAATGCATCTTGAAACTATGTGAAGCTCTTCTGCATATGTTAGAACTTGTTCGCATGTTTCAAGAGCTTTCATTGTGTCCGCCCAGTTGCCGAAAACCTCATCAAGGAAAGCCTCAGTTTCCATGATGAGATTTCCTTCCCCATAATTATCGGTCATGCAAAGGAACTCTGCAGCACATCTAAGGCTAACAACATTTAAAGCAGTGAGCTCTATTTTGACACCATAACAAAATTTGGCTATAAGCTCAAATGCTTTAGCTCCACCGGGAATGTCATGAAGTTTCAAAACACAAGCTGATTCACTTTCACTCCAGAACTCTTCAATAAGCTTCTTTAATAGCCCACTTCTAGAGAGCAATGGGAACTACAGAAGATAACCAAAATTGGTAGGAAAAAGTTTATAGTTTAGGCTAAACAAGTTGTATTTGCATTTAGCAAACAGCAATCAAGACGCTAAAATGACAGAGAAAATGAAATTGTGTGTGCATTGGAGACTATCATTACGAAGATTGAAGACCAAATTCAAGCAAATAAATTTTGTACCTTGTGGAGATGAAAATACATCCCTCCAACTTCAATAGTTACGTCACTTGGAAGCCCAGTTGCGCATAGCCTGAAACCAAAGCATATATGACAAAGTTCTATTACACCAAGTGTAGAATGTTTCTAAATATGCAAAACTAATTGCCAGTTAAAACAATAATTTGCATCAAGACATATTATTGAGGGAGTTGCTATGCATTCTACATCAAATTTTTTGCAGATGTTTATTACCTCATCACAGCACAAAGACTCGAATTACTACGTGAAATACCAGAAATGTCAGATAAATCATAGTAGAATCAGCTGTGAACCCATTTTCTAACAAGTTCAAAAATGGATAGATCCTCAAATAACGTAGTTCAAATCTCACTAACAAATAAAATTTCAAAACATCCACTTTTAAACAGCGCCATGTTAACAATTAACATTTTAACTTGTGTTATCTCAAAACCAATTCCATAAGTTATATTTCTGCATTAAACAAAATAAAGGAAGAAAAGAGAGGTGCGTTCCAACTGTGACCGTCACGATGAAATGCTTCCGATTTTAATCCCAGCAGCTTGATGAGTGCCATGAATAATAGTGTACGTACAAGTGCAGTGCAATGAGGAAGCTGAAAGTGCGAAATTAAAGCTGTGGAAATACAAGTAAAAGGTATATGATGAAGTTGTTAGTGATTGAATATGGGTTAGAGAGATGAGATGAATAGCGAGTCTAAAGCAATAAGTAGAGGAAGCGATTCCGGTGGCTATACATTTGGAGATGTACTTGACTCAATTGCGATGTTCGCCATTTGGATTCAGTCACTCCATGTTTCACATTTTACGTAAATGTTCAATCCCAACAAAAAACTTTGACTTATTATTATGAAGATATAAAATCTCCTCATATCTTAATCTCAACTTATGGATTATGACATTGATAAGTTACTGTCACCCTTCAAGACCTGACACAAACACATGTAAATTTACTTTGATTTTAATATTAAAGTGCTCAAGATCTTCGGACACTAATATGGGTGGTCACTGGGAGATTTATCCGGTTATTCACTTTAGGATTCCAAGAGATTAATTGATATGCAAACTATTAGCCAGACTAAAAAGAAGGCAGTTTCGTAAAACTACAACTCCACAAAAGAAGCAACGGCGTCATTTTGAGAAGAATAACTTTACTCTTTAGCTTATCATTGAGCTAGGTTTACTCTCAGTATTTTGTCTTCTCTCTTTCTTTGTATATAAACAAACGAATTATGTAAAGTGTTTACGAATTCTCAATTTCTCTCTTTCAGTTTTTCAGTTTCTCATGGTATCAGAGCCTGAGACAAGCGTCAACGGAAACGATTTGAACAATTGATTTTTTTCTTCTCAGCTTCAATGGAGAAAATGCAGAATGTTTCAGCTAATCCTCAACTCTCAATCTTTTCGTCAAGTCTTCAAGTCGTCACTCCCAAACTGACGAGAGACAGCTACACTGATAATTACCAATTCTGGCGATCGCAAGTCCTTTTCGCAGTAGGAGCTCATGAACTCGAAGAACATTTGACAGGTTTAATTCCCTGTCCAGCTCCCTTTATTAGCTATGTTTCTTGTTCAATTGAGTTGAGTGATAGTAAATCATTTGAAACCCTAGCTAAAGAAAAGCTGAATCTAGCTTATGTAACTTGGAAACGAACTGACAAATTCTTCGTTACTTGGCTTCTCACCTCAATTTCTAAGTGCATGTTCACTCTTGTTGCAAAATGTCAGTTTGGGTGTGAAGTATGGTTTAAGTTAGAAGTTGAGTTTGTAACCGAGTCAAAGGCCAGAGCCTTACATTTGAAGAATTTGCTTCAGATAACTCAAAAAGGCAATTTGACTATTCATGAGTATGTTAAGAAAATGAAAGGCATTGCTGAAAGCCTGGCTGCAAGTGGTCAAATGATCTCAGATGAAGATCTTCTACAACATATTTTAGACGATTTAGGTCCAAAATTTGATGCTGTTGTTGTCAATCTGACCTCTAGGGTAGAGTCTAAGGTTGATCTAATTACTTTACAAGAGGCTCAGTTTTTGTTGCAGAAATATGAGTTGCGGCTTGATAGGTTTAACTCTATAGAGTTTCATGGAGG